GGTTAGTGTGTGTGTGTGTGTGTGTGTGTGTGGTGGTGGTGTGTGTGTGTGTGTGTGTGTGTGTGTGTGTGTGTGTGTGTGTGTGTGTGTGTGTGTGTGTGTGTGTCGATACGCCCCTTGCCTGCCGACATAACTACATGCGCGTCGCATGTATTTCCCCTGGTGCATCTTTCCGCAACCGAATATCGAGAACGACTCGAGATTTAAACAGATGTGAATATGCGCGCGGAGGTATCGCTGCTTTTTATGCCGCTGTTTTATGAAAGATTTTACGCGCGCGAATCAACATACATAAAATATACATAAAATTATAGGCGCCTCTTAACTCGTCTCGTTACACGATTTTTCAGTTCGACATTTCATGATTCTGATGATCGTGCGACATTTTTATTATTATCGAATCATCACTTTCCATGTACGATAACGAAATTTCGATGATTTACATTTTGATTGGCATGGATATTTTTGTATAAATCGTAACGCGGTTAATAGATAAACAAATCGAAATAGATGATATCCAGTGGATGCAATCGGAAGCAAGCGGCGCGATTGGTAAGCTAATTCTATCAATGAGCGTCGATTTCGCGAAAGGCACGTTCGACGCGTGATGATCGGTCCAATTAAAAGCCGGAGGTTAAAAACTACCTTTAGAACAGTATCGACACAATTTTGGCATTACGATCGATCGTGCCATCGCGATGTGAAACGGCTGTGTCGGGCGGAAATGAACGTTCCCGTTGTCGCTTTTTGATACGTTTGGAGGATACGATGGGGACAGGAGGGGGTGATCGTTCGCGAGAGACTAGAAATAAATGAACGGGCAATTGTCGATGTCGAGTTTTTTGTATGAGTTTTGAATGCAAACTGTACCATCAACACCTCGGACACGGAGCTGATGCTGAGGACATACATGGTGACGCCGACCTCCACGGGCGGACCTGCAATCAACAAAACCATCCGGCCTTGGTCGCTGTGATTACCCGCCAATTTTCTAAACAACCGTGTACGACCTATTGTGTACGAGATAATATAGATATCTAAAGACAACAATAATAATAATAATAATAGCAATAATGTAACGAATCTATCTTTACCTCTGACTCACGCGCGCTTTACGCGCACGTTGGAACTTAGGCGCCCCTCTAAAACTTTCAAAATGATTCACAAACATACGATATTACATGCCGTGCCGCATTTCGCGCCGACGTATCTATCGGAAAAATCTAAACCTGTCGCGATGCGCTCCGACACGAATCCGTATCACGAGCGCGTGCGGACGAATCGTACATTTTTTTCCCTCCCCCTCGAATTCTCGAATAAGCCATCGAAACGAATCGGGCGCGAAGGGGGTTGCTTTCGGAAACGTCGCGCGCATCTGTCCGTGTGAGCCAGAGGCAAAGGACAAGTCGAGGAGAGCTCGCACCCTGCACGGAACCAAATCAACAGGACAGGACAGTCGTCGGCCACGTTGCTTTCCAAGCTAAAAGAATCATCCATACTTGTCTCGTTACATAGGCATTACGTTTTATGTTACATACACATCACAGCCACGTAGCAGTATGACATTACCTTACTACTACTTTCGTTTTTCTTTTTGTACCGCGTCGTTATAGTTTTGCCTTTGTCTCGTATGTACTCTCACCCTTTCGCTCTCTCTTTCGCTCTCTGTGCACTTTTGCATCTTGTTTTTGCCGATCACTCGTCATTGTCGTATTCCAATTAGATTTGTTGTGGCTATAAGTGTACGTATCCTGGGGATATACGGTTCTTATATTGTCGAATTTATTTTTTTTTGTCGCCCTATATTAGACGCCCCTTCGTGATCGAAAGCGGCGCGTCGTCTTGTCGAAACGTTCGTCGAACGACATCGTTACTTTACACTGAATTGCTGTCATTGTCATTGCGGTCGTCGATTCCGGGCGAAACCCATTTATCTCTTTCTTTTTTTTAACTTCTAGAGGGGATGTGAGGGGGATGCCTTGAATACCGAAAGAGCTGCTGGAAGGAATTCGGATGGATAACGATCGAGGCAAATCGATCGCGGATCGTTCTCTCTCGTGTATTCGTACACGAACGCGTGATACGTGCGATGTTTCGACAGAGAGATGACGAAGGTGTCGGGCGAGAGAGGGAGGGTTTCTTTCGGGTGGCGGGACATAGAGAGTAATAATAATCGTGGTGGCAGGCGGCAGCCCATCTCAGCAACCGCGGCATAGCAGCTAGAGCGTCTAAGAAACGGTCTAAACGGGACGGTCGTGCGTGTTTAATATATTGAACAAAATACTATTTTCCCTGAGAGCAGAAAGCAATAAAAAGACGCTCCTCATTCACGTTCTCTCTAACACTACGTGACGTTCGGGACAGCCCAGGCTCAAAAGTCAGGCAGGAAATCAGTGAACTAACTTTTTCCACGCCCACAGAAAACGAAAACGTAGTCGAAGCAACTGAAAAATTTTTTTCTCCGAGACGTTTGATTCTTTTGTAAGATTCGGCAAGATCTTCTTCGGTTTTGAATATCTTAATGCTGTTTCGCGCGTCAATATATAGTTCGCTCACATGAATCACATTGAACGTCTAGTTAAGAGATTATTTTTGCCGAAATAAATCTCGCTCCCGCGCATTAAACGGAAACTATCTCGCAATAATTTAGAACGATTCTGGTCGTTTGTTTTACTTTTTATTCCTTTTTTTTCGAGATTTAGCTCGATTTGCGACCGCAACCACGCAGTCTCGCTGCTTCCAGTTGCCGAAACTACGGCCCGGTTTCCCGGGCGAGGAACGAGGACAGCCAGTATATATTATCTGAAATATGAAATAGTACTTTGTCCATTTTTTAGTATATATTTTTTGTTTCTTTCTGTTGCTCGCTACGTAGAGTGTACATGTGTGTCTGTGTGTATGTGTAGGAAGAATGCGTATAAGGTCATACACGCGCACACTTATTCCTGCGTCGGTGTAAACCGGTGCCGCGATAAGCGGACGGGCCGCATGGTGCTACAATACATCAAGTGAGCTAGGAGACTCAGCTCGGTTAGCTTTATTTCGAAGTGTAAGTGGTATACCGCGTAATCGCCATCGCGCGCGTTTGCGTCTTATACCGGTTGATTAGCTTTTTTACGTGTTGATTGCGTAACATTTTCCTTTGCGGATGATAAAACATTTCGAGATGCACGATCGAAATAATTTTGCTGTTCTGACGGTTGCAAAAGAAAATTTATATTACGTGTGAAAATTTGCAAAATTTCACCAATGAAGACGATGATAATTGCAATTTTTTTGTTAAAGAATCATCATATTGATCTTCGAATGCGTGTGTTTATACGTTTTATACGTTGATTATTAAATTAGCTTTTTTATGCATCAATTGCATGGCATTTTCTTTCGTGAATGATAAAACATCTACATTTCGGGATGCACGATCGAAATAATTTTGCTATTCTGAGCGATTAGTGCAAAAGAAAATTTATATTACGCGTGAAAATTATGCAAAACCAAGGAGGACGATGACAATTGCAATTTAAAAAAAATTATTATGTTGATCCTCGAATGCTTTATCATCAAACACTTACATTCAAAGGTGAGATATCGAACGAAAGTTAAACGTAAAATACCATCAAAGTTTGAAGTACCATCAAAGTGTCGTAAAATCAAACAAGCTAATAGCCCTCATTTCTTATGATTAAGCGAGCGATCGAAATTTCGCGTTTTATCGCGTGTTCGAAGATCACGAATTTTTATTACGATTAATTACGAACACGTGTTTTGTGACATCTATCTTTTTCACGGAGAATTTAACTGCGCGTTACGATAACATCGAAATATAAATCTTGTTCAATGATCCGATCCGAAATTAAAAACGTGAGGAACTTTTATCTCATTTAAGCATTTATTTCGTTTAAGAGACGGAATTCGTAATGTCGACGGGTGGAATGCTGGCATAGCGCCGATTACTTCTCTTCTGCATAGTTTGCGTTCAATTGACTTCGGAACCTACGCGCCAAGAAATTGGACGTCGCCTCGTGCTGGCGAAGCGAGGCTCTCGAAGCACTGAATCGTGTCCCGGTAATCGTATTACGCGATTTTCGCGGTCCCAAATGTCGTCGTTAAATGAACAGCACATCAAAGGAGACACATCGCCGAGGGCGATGCAATTCTGTTCGTGGCAAGTGAACTGATTTCATTGTCGGAATGTCGAGTCACGATACCGACGATGCAACAACGATCGACGCGAGGATCGTCGAACATCTTTCTCGATCGACGATTTCCCGAGGATCGAGTTTCTTTCATTGGATTACAGCAAGGTGATATTAAAACCATCGGTCCGTAGGATTGCAATTAATCGATCGTTATGTGCGCGCGTTCGAAGCGAAATAATCGCGTCGGCGTCGTTAGGCAATGGAGATAATTTACGCTTCAGCGAACGTATTAAATAATGAATAGTTTATTGGAATGGCGAATCGAGACCGCTGAAAGTATCGCTCCAATTAGTACGTGATTAACGACATGAACGAGTTATTTGCCGAGGCGACACGGGCGGCAAGAGAGGTCATCCGCATAGATGCAAACGTTGATTGTCAATGCGATAAACATTGGTCTCGGCCATTAGAATCAACATGTGTGTCGCTCTCTTGATTGCCCCTGTTGATTTTTGAAATAAATAATTGTTTATCCGAATACATCGCGCAAGTGCTCAAGTATGCTGCTTCTTCAATGAGAAGAGAGAGACAATTACAGGATATATTTACGTATTTTAATAGCTAATAAACACACATAACATAAATAGGGAGTGAGAATTAAGTTGCGTGAGGTAAAATCTCCTGAGTTTTGTACACGTAGCTGAACAATCGGAAACGATTATTGTTCCATTCGTTGCGAGGATGGTCAAAACAACAGGAAGAATGCACACTCGTGTGCGCGTGTATGTACAACAGTGTTAAATCGGATCTACATCCGCACTCGTGTCGTCACATGTGTGAGTGGATGTATCTGGTGTATCTGTGCACGTGTGTCGGTGGGTAAAAGATGCTGATTGCAATTCAGTAACGATCAGCGGCAATTGTTTAAAACTTGAAAAATACACGGGCACTAAAAAAATGTCGCTTGATCGAAGAGACCGACGGGGCGGGCGGGGGAGTGGGAGGGCGGATTGTGTTTTAGCCGAGAACGATAATAATGAGTAACTTTCAGCGGAATTACTGAGTAAGACCTAGAGGTAGTACCATTTTCACTTCGGATAGGGAGCTGATACTCAAGACGTACATGGTGACGCCCACCTCGACAGGAGGACCTGAAATCGAAGGTTAGTAAAACTGAGTCGCCGGTTTCTGGCCGCGGCCAAGCTACACGGTGAGAGTGACTGTATGGCATTCGTTTGTTAATTAATTACAAATATCATATATATATTTGCTTTCTTTCTTTCGTTCTTTTCGGTAGCGTTCTGTGAGTTTACTGTGAATGCAAAATGGTATGTTGGTGAGGTCGCTACGTTGGATAGATCGCTGAAAGTGGTAATCGCTTTCAATTAGACGGCGTTCGATTATAATTTATGCGCTAATTTACGTGTGCTCGGTTATCGTTACGGTTAAAAACGATGGTTTTTGCGGATAGGCGTGATCTCAGTACATATCGCTGTGACGTGCTTTGTACCGTATAATTTACGTTGTACGCGCTTGAAATTAATCGAGGCGAATAAACCATCTTTAAAGCTAATGTTAAATTAAAAATGGTATTATAGGTTGAAAAGTCCGAGAACTACTTGCGTCAAATATTTTTCTCCTTTTTCCTTTCCTTGAACTGACGTTATTTTGATTATCTGTCGAGAATAAGTTTTTTTCCTCCTCATCATAAATAGAAATTATTTTTAATTCTTAATAAAATCTAACTAATTATAATGCCGCTAAAACATGTGACTATAAACAATCGGTTACACTTGCGTATTTCAATACGCGATATGACATAAGCTATTTTTTCCGTAAATTTTGCGAAATCTAAATTCAAAGACTTGAGGGTTCGTGAAAATTTCAGTAGTTCGTGCCAGATGTGTGGCACGAAATCGAAGTTGCCGGTCGAATTGATCGGCCGCAAAGGCGAAGCGGAAAAATGTAATCGCGCCCGATCAGGCGGTATCTCACCGGTGGAAAAGTTTATGGATGAAATTGCAAGCGGAGAATGAAAGAGGGAAGTCAGGTGCAGATGGAAAGAATTAGTTGTCGGAGGGAACGAGATCGAGGGAAGCGATGGGTAGGAAAGATTGGGGAACGCGAGGCACATATATGTGTCCACGTTGGCGTTTTCGCGATAAAGTTGACTCGTAAACAACGGCTCTGCCAACGCCATCGCGCCACTCGACCGATATATCTTCATTTCCATTTCTAGGATGTTTTTAAAGCCCTATAGCCGAGGAACATCCCATATGGGACATATATTTCACAATGACGTTCTCGCGACATGCTGGAAAACGCACGGCCGACGTGGTATCGGGTTAATTGAAACGCGCCAGTATGCTTCGTCCGTGCAATCCGATCGCCCATGAGAGAGTGTACTCCGAAAAAAAAAAGATTAAAAAATATTCGAGACATATGTGACGCAACCGAGAAAGAACAAAAAATTAATAATCGGACATCGGATCGATAAATCACAGTCATCAAATGTATCAATATTTGCTCGCATGTATCAATATTTGCTATACTATGAATATTTTTTCATGTATATATGTATTTTTTTTTTAAATCATGCATTATGTATCGTCGAACATTATATTGAATTAATTTCAATATATCTTTAGCGTAAATTTTGTGTCTGAATTGTATACATTTTTTACGTTACTTTACAAGCGAATGAAAAAAGTTTAACTCCATTAAATATATATAAAACGTACATTTATAAATGTGAACGCGTAAAATATAAAATATAAAATTTTAAATTGCTTTTTTTCTTTCTACCGTGTGTTCTTCTAAGCTAATATTGTTTTTCAAAGTTTTTTTAATGCGAACGCCAAAAGTTTTTGTTTGTCATTACTCCAGCCAGTTTATGGAGTGCAAACATTTCGAGTTTCCGAGTCACGTATTTTGTCATTTTATGTAGGCCTTGGGTGGTAGCGGCAGAGCTCGTGTTTGAAAATCCGGCCGCGCTCCGGGGAATATCCAATGAAGCACCACGAATCGAAGAGAGCAACGCCGAACGGCACGGTTTATCCCGTTCATACGCGGTATTCTCGTGTCCGTTTCCGTAATGTCCACGTACCGATCTAAATTTTAAATGTTAGAAACTCGTATCCCGCCGGGAATCCTATATCGATGCGCGGGAGCGGCGAGAGGAACGGATATCGGCGATTCGAATCGAGATGGTACATTTAGTGCAGTTTTTTTTTGCGATCTGCCGATAGTAATACTAGTCTGTATACGTGATTCCGTCGGAAAATGAAATGACCTTTCACGCCTAACAGTCTGTCCGAGTTTACTGCAAAGCGAGCCAATGTAACTCGAAAAAAATAGTAATATATTTATGCCAGTACTTTAATTAATCGTAATTGGTAAAAGTTGTTGCGTTGAAAACTAGTTGATAAATTTCAATTGTCATAGTGTTGTCGAAACAATTTTCGATTGCGGAATAATAAATTGAATAATGCTTATATAATATAAGCGATTTGCATGTTTAACAATTGCATGGAATGTAATTAAACGGTAATGTGCTGAATACGTGATTATTTTACTTTATTTACACATTTATTCTGAGAAATCATAATTGCAATTTGGTTATTTTAATCACTTTCAACAATTTAAACTTTTAATTATTCAGTTAATCGCTTTTTCAATTTTTTATACCTGATCTATAGCAATAGTAACAATTATAACTGCCATCGCGGGGATATCTTTTCAACCTCCAAAAATAATTGGTAAACATTTTTAGCTTCTTCGAAAATGTAAAAGATTAAAATAATTCTCGGTCAAGCCCCAAATCTCTTTTGGTGAGGGAAATATAGAACGGCTATATGGAACTGCGGGCGTCGTATCTTCGTTAGCGGTCGGGGCGCCGGGCCGAGAATATAAGTGCGATTTCGAAATAGAATCCGGGGCACAAGGGGGCACAGATACGCGACGACAAAATCAAAGTCAAAATCGTAATTGAAGGCGAGATACTGCGTCTCTGTGTAGTCCGCAGCAGAGATGCCGTTAACGGTAACCCGTGGCAACCCGTGGGGCGTCCCAGCATCGATCCGAGTTTTATCGAAGGGCGCTCCAGCCCCGCCCTGCCTCCACCGAGGCCATCCCCGAAAATGTGACTTTGTCGTGGTGTAATCGTCGATACATGAATCATAATCGTAGCTGCTCCGTCGTCGATAATCGGTCTGGCAGCCGAGCCGACCTGAACGCGCGCGGGGACTTTTTGGCCGGGCCTATCGAGCCAAAAGTAGGACAGGCCGTTTATTGGCAGGCATTAATTGCCTCTAACTGACTCTCGAGTGGCGAGCATGCTCACTCGAAACTGGACTAATGGCTCTTTAATATCTCCGTGTTTTATAAGCATCGCGTTTATTCGACCGCAAAATCGTATCGCATTCGCAATCGATAAACGTCTGGCATTTATTTGAAAGCGCGGTTCACGCAACGGTCCTTAGAAATTATGCGCTGCAAATTGGTGAATTGATCAAGAACGCTAAAAGAGAGAGAGAGAGAGAGAGCTTTGTGCTTCGCAACGTCTTTATCTTTGGGGAGTCACGTGCCGCGTTCCTATCTCCGCTATAGAACGCCCTGTCTGCCGGCATCGTTTTATCGGTATTTCTTTTTCGGTAGTTCCGCGGTTGAGCCGCGCAGTAAACTGCAAATTACTCCTTTGCTGGGAAACAGGATGCGATTCGCGTACACGTGCTACCACGCTGTTCCTGTCAGAGTTGTTTTATGGAAGCGGTAGTACGCTCGAAAGCTCGCCCCGCGCGCGCGTTTTTGTAGGGCGAAGCGTGGGTGATGATAAGCGACATCAAAAATATTTCCTCGAGCGTTTTCGCCGGGACTTTAGCCGTTGTGTCGCGCCATTGTTATAGCAATCCGAAAGCTCGCGCTTTTTGTTTTGATTCATCGCGTATCGATTTCGCGCATTAAAGTTTTTTAGGCAAATCCTGACGCGTACGTTTACATCCGCCATCTTTCGTTCTTTAGTTTCTTTTATCTCAGCACTGCATTAAAAGATAGAAAACGCTGTCAGTTATTTTTTTTATCCGAGCACACGTAAAAAGCTTCCTTCTGCGCTTGCAGCGAGCGAAGTGGAATTGAAAGAGCTCGTATATGCTGGTTTTCTATTCGTTCGCCAATTGGTTTTGCCAGTGTCAATATTTGATTCCTTTCGTCATCTAATTTTCTCATTTTCGTTAGCTGCAAGGTAATAGTTTTAGATTCACGTAACTGTGCAACGATTATAAACAATGAGACGGAGAAAGCTTTGTGCCGAACGCAAAACTTGTTACGGCGCACATTACTTCACGACCGTGAATTAGTCGAAATTAAATTGACGTTAACCGAATAATTACGTCAAACATGTTGAACTGACAAGTTTTGCGTACGATATAAAAATTTCACGAATGATTTCGTTTATCTCGTAAGATGGGGAAAACCGAGTCTTCACTCACCTCCGTAGTTCGGCCTTACTCTTTTATCGTAACTGACGGAGAAGGAGTCCAGTATCTGAGAGATGTTCACGTCGCCCAGAAAACTACCGCCGGCAGTTCTGTAAACAAACGAGAATTTTATATCTCACGTTTTCCTCGGTGAAACTAAAATTTTAAAATTATAAAAATCACAATCTTCTTATAACATTTATTCTTCTTATAACGTTTTATAACATTTATTTATTTTTATCCACTGTTTCTAAGTTAGCCGCTGTATTATCAGTAATTTTTTTTAAATTTCTATCCAGTTAAAATGTTATGGAATTGTTTAAATATCAATAGAATTAAACTTTGAAACATATTAATATACATTATATACAAAAATATAATATTATAATATTATTTTTAGAAAACTTTAGTATCCTCTTCTAGAATATTTTTGTTACAAACAATGTAAGAATCTTATTATGAAATAATCGCGTTTCATTGAATTTCACAAAACACAGCGAAATGTTTTAATGACGATGATATGTTGCATATATTTTTCGTCTAAACGAATAATAACTTGAAATTCAGGTCAAAATATGAACTGTCAAGATGGTCTGTTGCAAATCGCACCGCTGAATTTTAGGACGCCGTCACAAACTCCTGAACTGATATAGATACTGAGTATTAGCATTATTCCGAAGACAGATTCGAGAGAAGATATTGTAACAGCCTGTATGGCATACACGACCGTGAGAGATACGCCCGAGGTTCCCGGCATAAAGTGCAGCGAGTTTGTTCTTGACTTAACGGGTCAGTAGATACGGATGGTCTCGGTCAGCCAAACAAACGGCCCTTGAGTCCGCGGGCTGATACGTTCCGCAGTATCTACGAGAGCCCGATCTAATGGGTATAACGGCGCAGCAGCCGATTCCGGTCCCGTTTAAGTAGAGCAACTGGATCCGAGATCCGTTTTCTGCTTGACTCAGCAGGCTGACCAAGATCGCACCGTAATCACTTGATGCAGCGTTGATTCCCGGATCACGCAAAGCCGCGTCGTATGCTAACGACCTTGGTTAGATCACGCAATATCTTGGCGGTATCTACCAGATATCTCGAGTCACACGAATCACTGCGTGCTTTAATCGGAAAGCAGGAGAGACAGGAATAATCGAATTGCACGAGTATGTGTAATTCCATTTTATTTTCAACGTATCTGTGCCTTGAAAATTATTTATAGTAAAAATAATTTTTCTCGCTCTGAAATTTTTATAGTAATATTTTACATACTTTTTTTTTATATATAAATCAATTATTTGAATTTTATATTTTATTAAAAAGGGATAAATAACGAGGGTACCGATCAGAATATCGGGAATGTCATAGTTACTATTTATTACTTTGATAAAAGTGATCAATTGCCAAATATGAATGATGTCTGGTAGAAGTCATTGATAACTTTTGTGAATTAGGTTAATAATAGTGTCGTGCGTGCTTGATTGGTGCGTTACTCCATATCATTGAGTAAAACAGACGTAAGAAAAGCCTTGACCCTACAACGAATATGTACATATGAGTCAGCAGAATGTGCGAGAGACGTATCATACATCAGCTTGCGCGCATAGTCCCACAATGAAAGTAAGTAAACGTGGCGAGCTTGTGAAGTGTTGCACGAATTAGACTAATCAAGATCGTGCATGTTTGCCGCGTTCTATTTCACTGACCAAGATTCCAAGCGTGAGTTATACGATCTACAATGTGTCCCCGCGATTAGGTTCACGGGATTTCGTAATCAATTATAAATCAAGGAAATAATCGCTGTCTAAGTAGCCGGTCTACTTTGTGATTCAAATCAGTAAGCTCTTTAGTTGTAAAAGCCCCAATTACTATTTCGAGATTGCATCCGCTTGTTTATGCGAAACTAAAAAAATGTACAAAATTAATGATATTATATTTCTAAAATTATTAAACAGAAAAATAGCTATCGAAATACAAGAAAAGATATGGAAGAACTGTTACGTTATGGACAATATATTGTGCGATAAATTCTATAAATCTTCTATAAATCTTTTATTAATAATTTCATTAATATGCTATTAATAATATATACATAACAGATATTTTTAAGAAATGTTTTGGATCGAAACGTTAATAATGAACTAAGCGATTTTATCGGCTATACGCCTCGGATTTCATCCAACGATTCGCTGCAACCATCATAATCTAAGTTTCGCGAAACCATATCTCATAACGAAGAAGAACTTGCTACCAACTTGCGATAATAGGTCAGAGGTTAGTCGTATCGATTGGACGCAGATATCTACTCTGAGAACAAGGGTGCGAATAATACGGTAGATGATATCGTGTAGATGCACGCGCGAAAATATAGATAGACTATTTCTCGGTACGTACCACAAGGAGTCAGCCGCTCAGTCACAAGATTGTTGTTTAAAATATCTTCTAGTTAAATGGCGAAATATTGTTACGAAATAATTTTGAAGAAATTACGCTCGCGCATGAGCAATAAAAAAATTAATAAATTGTTTTATTTTAAGAAAATCCTATCTAGAGAATGATATATATAAATGAAATGTTAAAACATTTCTCTATTTTTGATGATCTATTTTGTATATCATTGAATACTTAATATGACATATAACATACATAACATAATTAATTATGTATATAAATATACAACAAATGACACATATAATAATATATGTGTCATTTGTTAATTATATTATGTATGTTATGTCACATTAAGTTCCATTTTTACGTGGCGATTTATTCCATCAATATATTATTAAAATACCACTGTAGGATAATTGAGACCTTTTCGATTTAAATCAATTCAGTTTTGGCATTTTATCTATGATATTATTTGTCACTTTTTTGTAAAAGTATAAGCATAGAAGCGTACGCCTACAAGTTTCTTTAACCAATTTCGAGCGATTTGAATTCTTCTTCTCCCTGTGAAAGAGAGCAAAGGGCAGAATACCCTCCGTAGAGAAAGATGACATTTTCGATCGCTTGAAATATATGAAAGGCTCCTTCGAGGTTAGTGTTTACGAAACTGAGGAGAGGTTTCGTGGGTGTCTGTATTCCAGACGAAAGGACGCGCGTCTCTTTCACGGGTCTTCGGAAGGAAGACCGTTGGAGAAATGTCACGCCATAGTTAAGCGTTTCATGCTTCATTGCCCCAAAAGCGCCAGACAATGTTTTCAGAAGCTCGCCCATTCCTTAGATCTCACGGAAAACTCTCTCCCGCTGCTTCGTGGAAATCCATTTTTCTTGTTACTCCGTGTTGTTTCGAATTATGAACTCAAGCTCCACCGCTCTCACAAGCAAAACAACGTAATATTAAATTAATGATGATCAAATCGAATGAAAATGTTCAACCGAAATTAGGTCGATAGATAATAATTGCCTCATGCTTTAATTTCAAATTTTGAACAGAAAATTGATTAATTACATTGTCGTAATTCTTTAATACAATTACGAATGTGTGTCGTCGTATTTAATATGCGCATCTTCCTAACCGCGATATTTATCAATCTACCACCGTATAATTAATAACATCACGTAAATTCCGTTTGATGTCGCTTTGATATTTAATAGCGTGAAATAACGTCGGCCGCACAGAGGAGTGATCGCGGCGCAATTGTACGAACGATTGATTTAATAGTATTACCGTGAGGCACAGAGAGTCACGTGGCGCGAGTACTGAAGAAAAATGGGGAACATTATGGTGTTTGAGCCCGAGTTGGCATAATTGAAAGTCTCGTAAATAAGGAGGACCGTCCGAGTGGACGAAGACACCTGGAATTTCAATCTCCCGAATTTCCAAGAGCTCTTGATCCCCGACTCTAACATTTCTTCTGCGATCTGTGCATCCTCCTACTCTTCGATCCTGTCTTCCATTCTTTTCGCTCGCCTGGCCTCGCTCCTTTTTCTTCTAGCTTTTCTGACTCGTTGCAATTTACCTGCCTTTAAGGAACGATGAAAAACCATTACAAGAATTTTCTCTACGAATATACGTTTATTTCTAGCTCAGCGAACTTTAGATCGATGCATGTAGGTAGCAACTTGCCTTTCTTCCGC